TAAAACTTTGATCCGTATTATTGTCAACCGTTTTATTTTTTTCGTTCATTTGATGACTCACGTATAAAAACCCGTATCACACGTTTAATATTCATATATTTGATGAATTAAATTGCTAATTAAATCATATTTATATATTAATTTATTTTATAACTATTGGCGTTTTATTTAACACAACAACAATATAGAGAGGAATAAAGTACCCGTAACGCATAAATATGTTATGCAAAAGTTACAAAATGAGATTTATTTATTACATAATAATTAAACAAACGTGTTAATAAAATTTCATAGTGGCTTTGCACTTAATGACCATCTTATATAAGACTTACGTAATGCCATTCTACAACTATTGTGTAAGGTGAACACATGTTACGTAAGTATTACAATGAACTTTACACTTTAGGTGTTGTGATATGGGAATCCTTTACAAAATAACATTTATTTCTTATGTAACAGTTGAACAAATATGTGTTATGTAAATTTCAATATCTACACTTTGCGTAAATCATTACGTAAAAAGACTATTGGTTATGTGCACGTAATGTCATTCTACGACTATTATGTAAGGCAACTAAAGGAACATACAAAGTATATTATCTCACTCCATGAGATAACTAGGACATGCTATTTGTAGGATGTGCTAGGATAAAGTTAAATGAAAGAACAACAAGAGACACTACAAACTAGTATTATTAACGCGCAATTTTCATGTAAAGTACTTTTCATTACGACAAAATAGCGCTACTACCCACGTCTTTACCGAACACTCTATCCCTACTACACCATAAGCTTAATTTTAATAGGAAAAATTGTCATTTTTATCGGGAACACTGTTCATTGCCTGACTATTGAAAACAGTGTTATAGTCCCTGTGGCCGTGTGTATCTTACTTTGTGTGGGAAGAGCCTGGCGATTGGCTAAGCATTGAGTGATTCTGAATGTTAACTTCCCCTATTGGATCCTGAAGAAGAGAAGATCATATGAGAAGCTGTTGCCAAGGGATCGCAAAGAAGACTACCTGTTAGATAAAGGGAGCTGAATCCAACATGAGATTTTAATCCATAGGAATTTTTCTTGCTTCTTGAATAGTTGACCATCAATACATGCAAAATAAAAAGAAGTGAAGAACAAAGAAAAATTGCTTCCAATCCTCCAAATACAGAGTTCAGGGATCTTTTTGGGAAATGCAATATGAGATTAGAGTCTCTAACTCTATATTCCTCGAAATTCCTCTTGCATCTAGAATAGTCGATCGACCATAGCCTGACGCAAAACCCTGCTACAACTACCTAACAGAATCAATGGTGATGGAGAAGCCAAACTAGAATCGATGAAATCAAAGAAGTTGTGAGCTGTTGAGAGCATAATCAGTCGTGTCTATGGAATATTCTCCTAAGCCTACAACCACTGACTCAATCGTGTGCATCTTGAAAAACTATGATGGTTACTATAACGATTGTCGATTGATTCAACTAAAGAAGCAAAGGGAGGGAATGGGGAAAAAAGAGAATTTAGTGAGAATGTCAGGAGGGTTGAAAACACGAGTTTATTGATGAAATATGAATATTATTTACTCTAATTTTTTGGATTTCAATTAGTTACTTTCATATTTTTTGCATGAAGGACACATGTCAATGATAAAATGCCACCTGCCTTCTAGCTTATCTGTTATGACTTGCCTTCACTTTCACCAAGGCCCATGCTACAATAAAATGGTCTTTTAAATATTTTTCTTTTTTTTATTTTATAATATGAGGTTTTTATCATTTTTGGGTTGTTTGGAAGTAACGATTGTTAAATAGATAAATTATTGTAAATGCATGTATAATATTATACATGTATTGTCCAATCTGATGCATTATAAAATACCACGTTTGGTATGTATGATTGCGTGTGTCGTATCAGCTAAAAGCTGTACAAAACAATTTCAACTCAGCTATCTCAACAATAAAATCTAAAAGTTGAGATATAACAATCACTCATTTTGAGTGATAGTTTATGTCACATCACAGAAACAATCCATTTATTCTTTCTTCTTAAAAAAAGATGTATTCTAAACAATACATGTATATTGACAATCTCACCAAAAAAATCGCAACTTTCAAACGACCCCTTAGTTGCTAATCTCCACACCAATCACGTCCTTATAGATATCTTTTACCTTAGTTATTTTCTTAGATGTGTACTCGAGGGGTTTCCAATTGTGTGTTGGTGACAATAAAGTTTATGAAGTTGGACCACGCGTTATAGATATCCAAAATACCATACTTAAATTTATGAATGATAGTTATTTTTATCTAATAATTAAATAAAATATATTATATAAATCTTTCCTAATAATTAAGACACAACATAAAATTTATATAGGGATAATAATTTTTTTTTGCGCAAATAGCAAACATATTACGTAATACCATTTAATAACAATTGCATAAACTGAAAACGAGTTATGTAAACCTTATGGAGGGATAATGATTTCTTTTGTACCAATTAAAGAAATATCTTTGTAAATTTTCAGTAATGATTACGATTTTATTGGAACTATTTTTTGAATTATTTAATTTCAACTAAATTATTAAATGAGTGGATAAAATTTGGAGTATATTAATTTCTTATCGCCGCGAAGCACGGGCTTAAAACTAGTTATAGTTATAATTGTCAGCAAAACAAAAACTTTGAAATTGAAATTTGTCTTTTATTTTCTGGTGCATTTTCCTCCTGTACTCATTTCCTAAAAAGATCAACATCTTTATTCTTAGTCTACTACTTATAATAAGAACCACTTCGATGGAGAAGGTAGATGACGATACCCTTGATCAGGTTGGGATGATTTTATGGGCACTTTGGAGTGAACAAAACAACCACATGTTCAACAATAGGAAATGGCAGGAAGAATAAATTGTGGGGAAAACCTTAGATTATTGGGAGGAGTTCAATTCCTATCACACTAACGAAGCTGAAGAACAAAACAGGGTCAGACTCACCTGGGAACCGCCGCCGACAAGGTGGATCAAACTGAATGTTGTGCAGCTGTCTTCAAGGACGAGGGAACCGGTTACGGGGTGATAGCTCGTGATTTTCGGGGTAATGTTTTTATAGCTGCTGTCTATAGGGAGAGAAATCGATGGTCCCCGAAAGTGGCAGAGATTAAGGCGATCACATTTGGACTTCAGCAAGCGGAGCACCATGGTTTCACCTCCATCATCGTCGAGACGGATTGTGAGAGCGCATTTATAACTCTGAAAAAGGCGGAAGTGACGAGGCTGGAAGCTGGTTTCCTTATCCAAGAGTTACAAGCAGAAGCAGCCTGCTTAGGCTCGATCAAGTGGCAATTTACAAAGAGAGAATGCAATGGAGCGACCTACTTGCTGGTCCATACCCAATGTAATTGGGACTCCCAAGAACAATGGGTTTCCCGTCCACTAGTCTTTCTCCTCTCTTTTCTGGACTCTGAGTCCATGAGGCATTAATAATATGTAGATCTGTTACTAAAAAAATAAGAACCACTTCAAGAGATCCGCTTCTAGAAATAGTGATGGCAATGATGCGGGTTTGCCTAAACCATCCCCATCCCCGCTTTCAAATATCGAAACCCATACCCGCCCCATACCCATGCGGATGCGGGGAAGATTTTGCAAACCCGTCCCCCATACCCGTGGGTTTCGGGTACCCATAGGTAATACCCGCCCTGTAAATCCAACATTATAATACCTAAAATTTTACATGTAAATTTTTAATTATATCATTAAAAGCACATAATATATCATGAAGTCGACAAAGTGACAATCATTCTTAATATGGTTCAAAGCATCTTATCCTAAAACATCCATTGATCCATAAGATAGAGTACAATTTAATCCAAATCATTATTCTCTCACTCTAATAGATCTACTAAGCAATAACTAACTAACTAACATAATCTTGCTTACACGAAGGAAAAAGTGAAAGAGTGAAGGGAGAGTTGAAGAAAATGATTAATTTGGGTGGCCACAATTGTATTTCTACTAATTATTTATTGAGTAACTTCTCACTATGGTATGGGTATGGGACAAGGGAGGCTAAAACCATACACGCCCCATACCCATAAAACGTTTTGCGAGTTTTACCCATACCAGCCTTATACCTAGTTAAAGTGGGGATTTCCCACGTTAACTGGATCAGAGGCAGTCGGATACTCGCGATAATGGATTTATGGGTTTGATTGTGAAAAAAATCCCAAGTTACACATGTTTTTTAAAAAAATTCTCAAAATACACACCTTATGAATAAAATTCCCAATCTACGCATGTTTGGGCCTTCACCGCAGCAGAGCAAGGCGGTGATTGCATCACCGCATGAAAGAAGAGCGGTGATTGCATCACCGCATGAGAGGAGGGCGGTGATTGCATCACTGCTGTAAAGGAAGGCGGTGATTGCAAAACCGCCGTAGAGAAAGGCGGTGAATGCTTCACCGCGTTACCCGGCCGCGGTGAAGGCCTGACCTACATCCAAACTTTAAACAAACGTAACTTTGTGCTCGGTTATCCGATCTTAGCGAAATCAAAAAAAATTATGCAGAATCAAATTTTTTTTTGCTACGATCGGATAACTGAGCACAAAGTTACGTTTGTTTAAAGTTTCGACGCAGGTCAGGCCTTCAAGGCGGCCTTGTAATGCGGTAAAGCATTCACCGCCTTCCTCTATAGCGGTGATGCAATCACCGCCTTCCTCTACAACGGTGATGCAATCAGTGCCCACTCACGTCCTCCTCTCATGCGGTGATACAATCACCGCCTTGCTCTGTTGCGGTGAATACCCAAACATGCGTAGATTGAGAATTTTTTTTATAACGTGTGTATTTTGAAAATTCTTTTTAAAAACATATGTAACGAAAGTTTTCCTTTGATTGTCATACCTATCCAGAAACCACTTCAAAAGAAAAAAGATCTAGATAGCTAAAATATACTGATATTTGGGTTCAACATCATCGTTTTGTAAGTTAATAACCGGGTCGAATGTGTAACCCGAAGGGGAAAACAGTCGGGGCAAATGCATTGCATTTGCACAACGAGCAAGGGTCCAGCCCGATTCGAGCAAAAAAATTCCGACCCGCCTAACCCGGCCCTTTCTTCAACTTATCCAAGAAGTTGTGCGCTTATCCATCTTTCACTGGGAGAAACTCCATTTTCCCTCTTCCAGCTTTCCCCCTCAAATTTTCTTACAGAGAAAATCCCGACTTCTTCTGGTAAAATTCCTCTCAGTTCTCTCCTTATCTTCCACAATTCAGAAATCCCCCGTCTTCGAGAAACGAAGCCATAGCGCTGATGCTGTCTAAATCGCAACAATGACCCTCTCGCCCTCGCTTTTCATCCCCAATTCCCCTTCCATCTCCGGCGAGCTTCTCAGGCTCGAGCCTAGCCACCGGCGAAGTCCGTTCCCTTGCTTCCCAGCTCACCGAAGGCTGCTTTCTTTCACCGGCGATCAGAGAACGTGCCAAGGCCACCGGAACCCCAGAGCCAAGCCCAGGGAAGTCATTCTCGGCAATCCTTCCGTCGTCGTCGAGAAAGGTAAGTACAGCTACGATGTCGAAACTCTTATCAACAAGCTCAGCAGCCTTCCGCCTCGCGGGAGCATAGCTCGGTGCTTGGAAGTCTTTAAGAACAAGCTTTCCTTGAACGACTTCTCCCTGGTGTTCAAGGAGTTCGCGCTGCGAGGGGACTGGCAGCGGTCTCTCCGGCTGTTCAAGTACATGCAGCGCCAGATCTGGTGCAAGCCCAACGAACATATTTACACCATTATGATTAGCTTGCTGGGCCGGGAAGGACTTCTGGAGAAATGCACTGAGATATTCGACGAAATGCCTAGCCATGGCGTGGCCCGCAGCGTTTTTTCCTACACCGCTTTGATCAATTCGTACGGGCGTCACGGCCATTATGAGGTTTCTCTGCAGCTACTGGAGAGAATGAAGAAAGAGAAGATTCCTCCCAGTATTTTGACATACAACACTGTCATTAATTCTTGTGCTAGAGGTGGTCTGGACTGGGAAGGGTTGTTGGGTTTGTTTGCAGAAATGAGACATGAAGGCGTGCAACCTGATATCGTTACTTATAATACTTTGCTCAGCGCTTGTGCTCATAGGGGTCTTGGGGATGAAGCTGAGATGCTCTTCAGGACCATGAATGAGGGAGGAATGGTGCCTGATGTAACAACTTATAAGTACCTTGTTGGGACGTTTGAGAAAGTGAATAGGTTAGGGAAGGTTAGTGAATTGCTCAAGGAAATGGAATACAGTGGAAGCTTGCCTGATATTTCTTCGTATAATACCTTGTTGGAGGCATACTCAAGAACGGGAGATATAAAAGATGCAATGGGAGTGTTTAGACAGATGCAAGCCGCAGGATGTATGCCCAATGCTTCAACATATAGTATATTACTAAATTTATATGGTAGAAACGGTAGGTATGACGAGGTCAGAGAGCTTTTCTTGGAGATGAAAGTAAGTAGCACAGAGCCTGATGCTGCTACGTATAACATACTTATAGAGGTGTTTGGTAAAGGGGGTTACTTTAAGGAGGTTGTGACATTATTTGGTGATATGTTGGAAGAGAATGTGGAGGCAAACATGGGTACGTATGAGGGGTTGATATTCGCATGTGGTAAAGGAGGGCTTTACGAAGATGCGAAGAAGATTTTACTTCATATGAATGAAAAGGGAATGGTGCCAAGTTCAAAGGCATTTACAGGAGTTATTGAAGCTTACGGACAAGCTGCATTGTACGAGGAGGCTCTTGTTGCATTCAATACAATGAATGAGTTAGAAATCAGCCCAACGCTTGAGACTTACAATTCTTTAATATGCATGTTTGCAAGAGGTGGGTTGTACAAGGAATCTGAGGTAATTTTGAGGAAAATGGGTGAAGCTGGGATTTTGCGAAACAGGGACTCTTTCAATGGTTTGATTGAAGGTTACAGGCAAGGGGGCAAGTTTGAAGAAGCTATCAAAGCTTATGTTGAGATGGAAAAGGCGAGGGTTGATCCTGATGAGCAGACTCTTGAGGAAGTTATGAGCGTTTATTGTGTCGCAGGTCTAGTTGATGAGAGTGAGGAGCAGTTCCAAGAGATTAAAGCATCAGGGATACTGCCTAGTGTCATATGCTACTGCATGATGTTAGCTGTTTATGCGAAAAGTGACAGGTCAGTATCGGGTCAAAGGTTGCTAAAATAAAGTTTTATGTGCAAACTTCTAACATTTTGATTTTTTTATCTTGTTAGACATATTGAATGTATGATAATAATTTTTGGGTGGCAAAGCTTAATCAACTTGCCCAATGGCATTAGCAAATAATTTCTGTGTAAGGAGTCCAAGAGATAAATCATAAATGTCCTTCGAGAACTCTTCTATCTATATCCAACTTCAATTGTAATATTTTCCGTTGAGAAATATAAAATTTTTGGCTCATCACTGGCCAGAAGTCACATGCTTGCTGTCGAAAAGCTTAGAATGTAGTTTGATAGCATGAGAGTGCTATCATTTGCTCTAATTTCTTCTAAAATCGCATCTGATATGATGTCCAACTAACTCTAAGTTTGGGTCGGCAGTCACTCATGAAAAAAACCCTTAATATACAGAGTACACAAAAACTGAGCTGCTGTATTCTCTTCTGGTGTTTCTTTTCAACCCGTGGTTTATGTTTACACCAGGTTTATTGCAACTTGTCTTTCTTTCATTTGTCAGTTTATCCTGTTGGTTATAAGAATCAGGAAGAAAATAGAATGGCTGTCTTCTGTTTTATGAGTTCGAAGTCTGAAACTGCAGAACCACTAGTCTTCTGCACTGAAACTGTTCTTGTGATCCTTGTGGAGTGACACTTATAGTTCCGTCTGTATCAAACACAACTTTGATAAATATATTGCATTATTCCCAACTCCATATAATTGATGGCCTAAAAAGCTGTAGTCTTATGGTTTTGCTACTCGTTTTCAGATGGAGTGAAGCCTATGACCTACTCAATGAGATGCTTACTCATAGGGTGTCAAATGTGCATCAAGTGATTGGTCAGTTGATCAAAGGGGAATATGATGACGAGTCTAACTGGCAAATGGTGGAGTATGTGTTTGACAGACTTAACTCTGAAGGATGTGGTTTGGGGATGAGGTTCTATAATACACTTCTAGAAGCACTTTGGTGGCTTGGTCAGAAAGCACGCGCTGCAAAAGTACTTAGGGAAGCAACAAAGCGAGGTCTCTTCCCTGAAATATTCCGTAAAAGCAAACTCGTGTGGTCTGTGGATGTGCACAGGTATCACACCATCTGTTCCTCCCTACTTTCTCTATCTTCACCTTCTTGATGTCACTGATGATTTGAATTTGACGTGATGGATCTTTCACAGGCTATCCGTAGGCAGTGCATGTACAGCAATATCTGTTTGGCTGAATGACATCCATGATAGGTTCACCAATGGTGAGGACCTTCCACAACTTGCTTCAGTAGTTGTTGTGTAAGTTTTCCTCACTCAACTTAACCCATCCTTGTCCCATGCACCCCACATTGCTGCACTCTATTCCCTCTTGTCCGAACATCTGTATAGAATACATAAATATTGTTTCATTGTGGTCAGCTGCTTGGATCATCCCCTGTTATTATCAAAGCTTGCTTACCGAATTGAGTTTCTGCTTGTATTGTTCTTTAGGGTCTGTTACATTTCTTCTTCTTCTTCTTCTTCTTCTTCTTCTTCTTCTTCTTCTTCTTCTTCTTCTGGGCTTTATTCAAATAACCCCATATTTGTAGAGTATAACGTTCCATACATCTTCATAAGGGTTTTGGGTAACTATAACTGTCTCCTGCATTCACAATTCTATCCATTCTCGTATTGCCCTCACTTCTTCTGTCATAAAGATTAAATTCACTGTCTCAATAACACAAAACGATACTAAAGAACAAATATTGTCTTGGGTAGGGAGAAAGGTTTCACTCACTAATTCTTCCATTATCTTTCTTGCTTATGGCCTAACTGCTATACTTGTTTGAAATATGTTAAGATGCAAAATGAAATGAGGTGACTCATTTCCTGATCGATTTCTTAGGGCAAACACTAAGCAACATTTGTCTTATGGTCTAACTGTTCATCTATTTGTTTTGGATTACCTTTCACAACTACCAAATACTAGCAACATTTTTGTGCCATTGAATTGGGTCACACTTGGATTTGCCTGAAGTTGATCTCTGTTAAATGCAGGCGAGGGAGGATGGAGAATGATTCCCAAAATATTCCCCTTGCGAAAGCAGTATATTCGTATCTGGAAGATAATGAATCATCAGCATTCTCTCACCCAAGCTGGAATAAAGGTCGAATCACCTGTCAGCGAGCTCAGCTTAAGCGCTTCTTATCAGCCACTTCAAATGGGGCTGAGAAACAAAACTTCATTAGTTTAAGTAACTTGCCACTCTCACTCGCTGAAACAAGATCCAGAGGAGATGATCCCAAGCTCAACCAAAACATTTACATGAACTCCAAGAGGAGTACCGGAACAAGAACAGAGCTTCTGACAAGCACAACGTAAGGAGGTACAAATGATTAATGATTTTCACTGGGTGCAACATCTGCAGAAGGATGGAAAGAACATCCACATTCGCCATGATTTCCGAGTGCAGAATCAGGCCATGCAAAGACCAGAGGAGTGCCACATTCAGAAGAGAGCTCCTCTGCCGTGACCTCTTTCCTTCAAAAACAACCTCACCATCCTGTGTTTACTACTGGTGCAGTGATCTCATACGGGAGAAAAGGGCTGTAGTTACTAGATGAAGATAGGCAGTCTATTTATGATAACTTGTGAAGCAAGTAAAGCAACTTGCATCTCTTTTTGTCTGAACAATACCAGGGTCACAACAGCAGCCACTGGAATCGCAATTTTGTTCGAAACGCTCTGGAATGTGAAGTCGTATGCATGCATCTCTATTTTGTTTTTGATTTCAGAGTTTACATAAAGACGCTTAATAGCTATAGGGAGTCAACCCTAGCCAACCATCTCATCTTTATCGGTCTGCCAACCTCTTGGTTGGGTGTTTTTAGTTAGATTAGGTTTGTTCTGCCCCCAACCTTTTGATTAGATTATATAGTAGTTCGGCGCGATGTAATAGCAAGCCTAAGGTTCTCTTGGAATACAACTGAATCACTTTACTACATCCCTAACATAGATTATATAGTAGTTCGGCGCGATGTAATAGCAAGCCTAAGGTTCTCTTGGAATACAACTGAATCACTTTACTACATCCCTAACATAGTTACGCTTGGCTTGGTTGAATCACTTTACTACATCCCTAACATAGTTACGCTTGGCTTGGTTAGGATTGACGTGAGTGTGTATCGATTTACAAATATTAAAGCTCGATCACGGTCAATTATCATTGTCTTATCTATCATATAGTTATAATATGACATTGGTATGATGACCCATCTCCATTGTAACGCAAAATTTTAAAAATAATTGTGTGAAAAGAACATATTAATTAAAATCTATATAATTATATCCTTTTGCTTATGTTTTGTCAAACATATGACCTCATGCCAAAATTCTACCGGTGTCTTTCCAACATCATATCAGTGTCATATCATGATATTATTGTTATTATATCATGTGATAATATCATGATATGACACTAATATGATGTCATCAAATTATTTTGACATATAAAAGATCTCATACCTACACTACCATACCAATATCATATAAACATTATACCACTATTATATAAATATTATACTACTATGATATCATACCACTGTCAATGATAATATCATAATATGATAGTGGTAAGATGACGTAAAAAATTTTGCTCAAAAAAATCAAAACTAGATTTCATCTTAGAGAGCACAAAAAATAAGATATTTCTGTGCAGAATTTTTTTAAAATCGATGTAAAACTAAAGAGTGAGGGCCAGTTGGATTTTTGTAAAAGATTTGAAAAGTATCTTAACAACATCATGAGAATCTGGGCCGGCCCACCCAAAATTCTGGTGCCCAAAATTCCAATAAGCTCTTCCTAAATCTCTTATTTTCCTTCTTATCCCTTTATGATATTAATTATGAGATCTTCCCTTCCCAAATTACAACCATTGGAATGAGTTTTGTACTTTAATCTGTTGATGAAATAAGTAATCAAACAAATAACCTTTTTAGCTCACAAGTCAATTTTGTATTAAGAAAAAGGAAGGAATAGGGTACAAAACCCACCACTACAAAAGCACTACAAAACCCCATAATCCACCTTCCATCTTATTCACCATCTAATGGCCCAATTTAATTCGCAAGTAAAAAAGAGCGTCCGACTAGTAATTTCACTGCCTCCTAGCTTTTATTTTCGTCTGGAACTCTGATACACATTCAGAGGAGAGAGGACACTTTTCTAATCCCTTATTTTTTTAATTGGATCGTATAACATTCAGTTTAACTCAAAACACGTGTTGATTGTAGTATTATCACTGTCATATCTATCATATCGTTATGATATGACAATGGTATATTGATTCATCTCCTTCATTTTAACTCAAAATTATTTAAAAAATGTATTGAAAGAACGCATTAATTCAAAACAACACTATTATATTCATTTTGCTATGTTTTTTTTTTCAAACATAAGACCTCATGCCAACATAATACCGATGTATTACCAACGTCACATTAGTGTCATCATGATTTGACACCGACAATGATATCATCAAATTATTTTGACAAATATAGGACCTCATACCAACATCTTATCATTATCATATCAACATTATACCACTATATATCAACATCATACCATTGTGAGTGATAATTTCGTGATAAGACAGTGGTTAGATTATGTTAAAAATTTATCCAATAAATATCAAAATTGATATCATGTTGTATAGCATAATAAATATGATTATTTTGTGCAAATGTTTTTGAACTCCGATGTAAAACGAATGAGTTAAGGTACTTTAAATTTTTGCAACATATTTTAAAAGTGTCCTTTAAATTTTCACAACAGATTTGAAAAGTGTCTTAACTGTTTTTACTCACAAGTCAATTTTCTATAAAAAAAAATTAAATGGATAGGGTACAAAGCTCACCACTACAAAACCAAATTCATCTCACTCACAACCTAATGGCCCAAATCCCTTTTTTATTTGCTTGACCGTCTAACACGTATCCGGAGGAGAGAATACATTTTTTTCTAAATTCTTTATTTTTTCTTAATTGAATCCTATAACATAGATTTTAACTATTTTGCTTAGAAAGCACACATTAGTTATGTATGACATACACAATGATATCTATTTTGCTATGGTTTTAGCAAAGAAAAACGAACTCTTCAAAACACGTGTCGGTTGTAGTAGTATCACGGTCATATCTATTATGTCGTCATGATATGAAAGTGGTATGATGACTCATCTCCATATTTAACTCAAAATAAAAATAAAATAAAAATTGTATAAAAAGATCACATTAATTAAGATCCACATAAAAGTAGTTGAGTAAAAAAAAAAAAAAAGGGAGATGATAGGAGCTCTCTCCTCTCTCCTCGTCTAATGGTGGACAAAAGCTGCGCTGATACTGGTGCTGTGCCGATCGGCGGGCCTTTCCATTCTTCACCTCGTGGGGAAGGTGCTCGATGTTACCCTGGTTAACCAGGGGTTTGAAGGAAATCGGCGGCAAAACGGCAATCGTGGCTTTGTTGAATTCCACGGTAGCGTGGTGTCAAGGCGATGCAGTCAGATAAACGCCTCTCTGGATGGTGGTTCAGATCTTGGATCCCGAAAACGGAGGATTGATTATCTCCGAGATGATGGTGATCATAATTGGCGTGCTAGTAAACGCGGGCGACGCCCCAAGAAAGTGATGTGGCGATTTCGCCTACCCTCGTCATGCGAAGTGGACGGTGAGGGCGATAGAAGTGCTACTCCTCAGCCTAGGGAGGAGAATGTTGTGGAGGCAATTGATGCGGTGTGTGTTTCTCGTGCGCATGAGTTTAGATCCCGTTATGGGGCGAGCTCTGCAGTGATGTCCTCGGACGAGATGCCACAAGCGAAGCCTATCCAAAATTGGCCGGATGTTTTGTCCCGGCAGACACCGAGAACCCATAGTTTTCTGGCGAGTGCTTTTTTCCTGGATCCGGTGCAATTTACTCTAATTCGGCCGGTGATCTATTCCCGGCAGCTTTAATGGAGTCAAAATGGCCCGGCGAGCGTAACTACCCGGATCCCGATGAGTAGCTCGCGTAACCGTAATCCTGATCTACGGGTGGGAATCGTTAAAGGGATCTCTCTGACGGATTTTTCTCCCTGTAGAATTATCAAGAATTGGGATAAATCAAAAAAGAAAATCTGTTTTTTAAATCGGGTTCGTTACCCACTCCAAGAAGGAAACCTGTTGCTAACTGTAAAACACGGCGCGGCCTTTGCTTTAAATTGTCCCGATACCCCGGCTCTTTTCTCACACATTCACCGTGAGATTTTACTGGAGGATCAGAACAGAGCAGAGTGTAGCAGCCATCAGCAACTTGTCTCGGGTACGTGGGTCTCTTCCCTCGTTGACCCGCTGTTCCTTCTTTCTGTTGAGAATTCTCCCCTGCGTGGGATTAGCTCCATTGTTTCTTGCTTCCCTTGGTCGATCCCGGATATCCCAAAGTCTGACGGGGTGCTTAGTGATCCTGGCTTTTTACCTATTTTGCAGACGATTACCATGTCACGTGTTGCTAGTGATCAGGTGGTCTCGTTTTCCCTTGCGGAAATCCAATCTGATAGGGTTCGTAAGTCCAAGTCCCTTATTGGCAGGGTGTTCTCTGATAATCGGATGTCCACAGTGGAGCTTAGGGAAGCGGTTAACAAGCCCTGGACTGGCCAGGGCCGAATTCAAGTCCGGCTTGCTGCGCATGGCCTGTACGAGTTCGTGCTACCCAATGAAGCAGCTAGAACCTGGGTGCTTCAACGCACACCCTGGGTCATCGCGGACAAGATCATTCACCTTCGGGCCTGGATCCCGAATGCTACAATCCGCACATTTGATGAGCTTGCTATTGCTCCGTTCCGTGTTCAAATGTGGGATGTTCAGGAGGACTGCTGCACCCAACAGTTTGGGAGAAAAGTGGCGAATGCGACCCTTGGTCGTGTCTTGGAGGCTGGAGTGTTCTCCTGTTTGGATTCGGGGCGTTGCTTTTTGAAGGTTAAGGTGCTGGTTGATTTCTCGAAGCCTCTGCGCTCTCAGGTCTTGGCCTCGAATGACGAAACTGGAGAATTCTGGATCCGGTTCAAATATGAACACCTTCCTAGCTATTGCTTTCACTGTGGCCGGGTTGGACATTCTCGTCAGGCATGCACATTTGACCCGCCAGCTCGGAAAGAACGCTTCGGACCCCATTTGTCAACGAAGAAAATGGGGAGGAAGATTTTCGAGGAAGAAGAGGAGAAGCTGCGCTACCTCGGACACCCGGATTCAGTTTGGATCAATAGGGATATCCGTGGGGGCAAGAGAGCTAGTGAGCCGGTGCAGCAGGGGAGTCGGGAGCGAGACAGGGGCGCCGATGATCGTTCTCAGCAGGACGAAAGAGTGATGGAAAGGCAGCAAAAGGAGGCGAAGCAGCCTGTTGTCAATAAGAGCCCGTTGTGGTTGGGCTCTTCCACAAATCCTTTTGTGATGGCTGAGCCTCAAGGCCACTCTGGGAAGAGCCCGTTTCGGGTGTCGATTGGGAAATCTCCCAAGCTGGCTCTGGGGAAACAAAACAGACGGGGAAGACCGAAGAGAGGTGACGGTGGGGGTTCCAGGGCCTCGGACCGGCAACCCGCGCCCAAACTGGTGGCCCAAGGAAGGAGGCTTATGAAGATGAAGCACGGTGTGGCTGATGGTCTCGCTCAGGAGGAACAGGCCATGGGGGGAGCTACCACCATGCATCAGTCCGATGGGTCGGACCCAGTTCGCCGCCGTCGTCTTATACTGGAGGAAGAATCGGAGGAGGAATTCATAGTGCATGAGGTCCCCTCGCCTGTGCCTATGTGCCAACCTGTCGAGGACACTCCGGTGGTGAAAACCAAGGCGCGTGGCCGGCCTCCCACGGCAACGGCAAATCCGCGTCGCCGAGCAGCGAGCAAGAAAGCTAGTGATCGGAAAGGGGATCATTCCCCTG